AGCAGGAATTCTTCATGAGGATAATGTCTTCAGTACTCTTTGGTACTACTATTTCTCATGCTGTTTTATGATACGTGGTTGAATTTTTAATAAATTTCCTTTTATCAGCATTGACCTAATTTCTAAAACAAATGTAGGACAGGAAAATGTGGTTGCTCCTTTAGCCTGCTGTTAGTAAAAAGCAAATCAAGCAATATAGCCTACAGTTGTTCAAAAAACCATGCACTACTGACTTGTGCAGTTCTAAAATAGATGCATACCTTGCGTTCAAGTAAGAGACAGCTGCTCATTCTGATTTAGAGATTAGCGTAATGAAATAAAGTTGGCTTTAAATATCTAGAACTTGCAAGGTACAGTGATTAGTTACAGTTCTGATTAATGGATAATTATGCAATCATGTACAGTGTTGACCCAAGCATAAGCCTGGAGCAAGTGGTAATCACTAAGGCTAAAAGAAAATTGAAGGTATTTACTTCGGTTGTTGGTTACTTTCAGAGAAGATTTAGAACAGGGCCCTTTTTATATTTCATTTTTGGTAGATTAAACACAGTCATTGAGAACAGATGTTTTAATACATTACTGCAGAAATGAGTCTTGATTTTCTTGTAAAATGCTGAAATGTTACAAATATGAAAACTTTTGTGGTAGGAATGTAAACATTCATCTTCACTTACTTCTGCCTTTTCATTTCTGAAGTTTTGTTTTGGGATACTTTATCCACTCTGTCAGAAAAATCTAGGAAATTTAATTTTCATACAGAACTCTTGCACTTTCAGAACTTCTGCAGTGAGTGTAGGTTTTTGCTTCATAATGATTCTGGTTATGAAGCTTCTCTTTGTACATTTGTACACTTACCAAGTATATCTTGCTGTTCTTCTTATGGGGAAAGAACTAAGATAATGTGACCTTATTGATCGCCCTACTGCCTGCAGTGTTCTTACTGACATCAACACCATGCTGGGAATAGAAATGATTACTCAACAAGAACTCTCTCTCCGTTCTGTAGGGACAAAGTAAAAACAGAATGGGAACATTATTCATTAGATATTATTGCTGCTCAATGTTCCTGTCATTTCTTGGCAAGCAAGAGTTTTAGCTGAAAGAGAAAATACTATAGAATGTATAATGTATGCATATATCCAAATTAGGACAGACCTACCTGAAATGGTATCTGGAATAAATTCTTAAATTGCTTTTCTGGAAATCTTTGCTGCTGCCTGGAAGTTTGGCTCTGTCCAGAGCAAGCAGAGAAGCACATCATTTTTGGGACACTGAACTAGTCATCACCTAGTCTGAGAAGAATAGTATTGTCTTCTTCTGAGAAATAGCAGAATAATTTCAGTACTTTCCCAGGAATTGACAGAGAAAGATTTTATTTCTGTTTCATGGAGGATTCATCACCTTCCACTTGGGAGTACAGGGATGTGGATTTTCAGTCTTGAAATTACGTCTTTATACTTCATATGAATCAATCATTCAGTCAAATAAACCAGTAGGCCCTGGAGAAGGGGACCTAGTGGAACCTAGGTATGTTCTTCTCCAGGTATATGTTCTAATCAAAAGGCTCAGGAGCTAACTTTTCTTCTTGTTCTCCCTTTTCTTTGAATCTTGAATTCTTTCCTCACAATGTCTAGAGCTCGCAGTCAGGAATGTGATATTATGGGCTGAAGTCTTATTCTTCCAAGAAATACCACAGTACTTTTCCAGTCAAGATACATAAATATATCTTCCCAGTGTATTTATTTTAATAATCTTCTGTATGTGGTTCACTGTAAGGGATAAATAAATGATGGAAGAGGTTAAGAATTTAACTATTGTGTTACATTACACACAGACTCTAAATGTGACTGCAGTCTATTTTTTCTTCTTAGAGCCTGCTGAA